TCGGATCCATTCCCAAATGGTGGATCTGGAGGTAATGGTATAGTTTGATCACCAAGAAGATCACCAAGCTCACAACAATAACGAAGCAGTTATCTGGGGCAGAAAGGAGAAATATGGCCAGGAAGAAAAAGCGCAAATAGCAAACTGATGCTCGGAAGCGACGAAGAGGATTAGGTCTCCGGAATAACATACGAACGCCAAACACGCAAAAGAGAGGCTCCAGTGGGCTGATAGGAAATCCAAAGTCAATAAAAAATGTAACGAAAATTTATCAATCGAAGCTAGCTCTAATATAAAGATGACGAGCGCGGCAACCGAATTTTCCGTAAAGACCGGGAACCCCAAAAGGACTAACCGGACTTTATGTAAGAAGGTAACAACAATTGCTATGCATTCATCTTATGAAGGTCATCTTACGCAAAGGTTGCCAGGGGGTGCTATAGAGACCAGCTCTGCTTTGCAGTGATCGACGAGAATAGTGGCTATAATACTTTCTTATAGTAGAGAACAACCACGAAGTCCTTAATTGTTACGGTGGCATCTTTGTATTAAAACATAATTCTGATCAGATTAGCTTTTGTGGATGTTCTGAAGGGCTAACTCTGGAATTCCTGATTCTAGGATACTGATTTCGTTTTTGTGTTTTTGCGTCTAGGTCCTTCCTAGCTGTTTTTTTAAGAAATGTTATAAAGAAATCTTTTGTTCCAGACGACGTGAGGTCCCTTCGGTAGTTCCTGTGCAGCAGCCAGTCTTCTCTAGTCCCAATATTTGTTCTTCAAGAACTGCATTAAATCTAATCTATGCACTTGAATACCCTGAAACTGCTCTTTGTAAATTAAAAATGTTTAAGAACTTAGAGCCGTGGACCGTCTATTTGAGATCTGGAATGTCACAGCATCAACTTGCCAATAATAAACCCACAACCTGCCCACATAACCACTTACACTTTCAAAATGGCACCTGATACTGCATTCCTTTGAAAACACCATCAATTTTTAAAAATAAATAAAAAAATCTTAACAACATCGTAAAAATCTAACATAAAGCAGTTAGATACTAAACTGAATATTTCAGCGTATGAGACCCTGTCACACCGATCATTAGACAAACGGTTAGCTATGTATGTATGTGCTCATGTCAAGCCCTAATATTGAAATCACATTACAACAACAACATGAAGGTATAACGACACAAAACAACAACTTGTTAAACGTTTAAAAAATATATTTGTATAAATAATTAAAAAAGAACCGTAAACACGATTTATCGGCATGTAACACCACCACTCGACAACGAAGACGAAGAAGCAGAACAAGCCGACAATAAACCAAGTAAGTCATGTTTGAGACATAAGTTGCCGCTCCTTGGTTGTTGTCTGTATAAAACTTTGTTGCTTGCAATCATTGTCATCATCAGTAGCTGTAGCAGCAACAGCAGCACCTCCACCAACCAACCACCTACCTCAAACCACACTTGACATTTCTAGATTTGGAAGTGTTTTTTCTGCTTTAAATTCAATTCATTTGTTATTAAAAAAAAAAACACTTCACTTTAATTTGAAACAGGTTCTTTTTTTAATAAATAAATACTGAGAAAAACCAATAACAACAACTCCATTCCTAAGAGCAGAGCAAAAAAGGTTTCTAACGACAACAACAATAACTACAACGAGACCAATCCATGTATCTTGAAAAAATGGTAATACACTGCGTTGCGGTTTCTATTTAACGGCATTGGCGATGAAGCCGACGACGACGCCGACGTTTGTAAAAGTGAAAGGTTAAAAACTCGTTTCTTAGATCAGACAACAGGAATCACTCCAAACTCTGTTCATGTTTGGGTTGGTTGGATAGTTGGTTTATGGCCAAGTTGCTGGCCTCAGAAAAAATACTGCTCGTGCCACCGCCACCAACATAACTACCACAACGACACCGAACAACAACAACAACAGCAGCAACAATTGTTGTTGTTGCTGCCGTTGATGTTATGGAGAATGTGGAGTGAATATCAAACCCCAACCAGCCACAACAAAGAATAATTTATATGAATCAATGCAACAACAACAACAACAACACGGAACTGTATAAAAAACAACAAAAATTAAAAATACACAAAAAGATTAGATGGAGATTAAATTTGGAGGAAAAAAACTTAAATTTTTATTAACTTTCTTTTAACAGGTCATCATCATAACAGTGACATTGTCGATGTTGTCGTCGTCGGTTTTCAACACTTGACCACCATAATCCACATTTCATTGGCAAGAAAAAGAAGAAAAGAAGCCAGAAATTAAAGGTTAATTTTTTCAAAGCTTCATAATTTCTATAGAAGCCAACGGCTATCTCACGGCATTTGTAATTAAATCACCCCTGATGAGATCATGCTCTTTGCCGTAATTTATAACCGTAAAAGTGGCCAATGACAGTCAGTGAGAAAAAACTCTTCGATAGTGCAAGTGAGAAGTGCTGTTTTGTTTAATGCCCTACATTTGGTTTGGATGAAGGCGTGTGTTTTCATTTCATTTCGAATGTATATTAAATTAGGACTTGTAAAATCTGATAAGAAGCGCAGAGAAAAACTAAAACAACTATAATCATTTGGTAAAAAACATATATCTTTCCTTATTAATAATGTAAACAAATTAGATTTAACTTCTTGAGTCCAAATTATCCTCTCAAGTATATATAGCCACTCAAAGAAATATTGTGCACCAAATGTTTGGGAAGTCAAATCGAAATTTACCGAAATAAGTTCTAAAAGGTAAATATATCTGTAAAGTATTAGATGCAACTTTGGAGGATAGCCATTTCTGAAGAACCAAATAAATCCCATGCTACAGAGCGGATCCAAATCACATAACTGAGTGAGGTGATCTCCCCATTCATAGGGTTACAACGATAAACTTGTATAACTCGATGGGGCAACAAAAAAATGATATAACCGCACAACTCAAAGACCAAGGATATCCATGAGTAGAGGGATGGAATGGTCGAAAGTTGTAAACAATACGATCGCAGGGCTTCATAGACATTTTTAGAATCGTTATACGAATTGTGGATTTGTGTGTATGAGCCCGAAACGAAACAGCAATCTACCGTGCTGGTCTATGAAGGCGAATCAAATCCAAGAAATGTTGTTAGTGCAAGAAACACTTCGAAGGAAATTGTGGGCAGTATGTTCGGCAAAATCGGTCATGCGACATCTGTTCCGCTTAAGTAACATAAGATATTTTGGTGGCACATCACAAATTGTTAGCCTGATTACTTTCTCGTAATTATTAATATAGAGTTCTTTAATTTTGAAAGATAGTCCGCGTTTAGGGTTTCAACTTGATTTTAAATATTTTCGAGCGGTAACAGCCACCTTTCAACAAATTGAGAAGGAGTCTGCCAAAGTGGGTCTGGCAGTAAATGTCGAGTAGACCAAGCTCATGGTATCAATGAGCAAGACGTCCAGTAGACTCGGTCCAACGGCGGAACTGGAAAACTACAGCTTCGACGTAGTCAAAGATTTCATATTGAGTATCCGATTTGATTTAATCCGAATATGACGTCTATGTGGCAACACCTTCTGGTACCGCCCCTTAGATGGTCAAATGATTGATAAAGAACATATACATAATACGAAGAGAATGGTGAATCCTGTGAGGTCTTAACTTGATGGGCCTTATTTATTATAATATACTGTTTATACTAGCAATATATTTAGAAGTGTTTCTCAAACTTTAAACGCATTTTACGAATGGCTGACACGATAACTCAAAATCGGTTCCAAATGTGGACACGTTGGGAGTATATAGCTATCGCATGAAGTGTGATAAATCCAATCGGTAAAGATCTTCCTTATTTTTAACATTGTTTGAAGTCAAAATAGGCGATTATCAAAAAATAAATAATTTTTGAGGGGAGTCTATAATCATAGTTCATACCAGATCCAGACATGTACTCTTTCTAACAACGTTTGAATTCTAAAATTCCGATGTTCCAGCGAGGAGTTATTATGCCCGCCATTAAAAATAAGGATTTTTCTTTTTAAGAAAAATTGCTCTCCTATGTGTGTATAGCATATGTCATAGGCTGAGGGTATATACATATTCATTAAAGGCATCTTATTTCTCAATTTGGGTTCATGTTACAAATTCAATAAGAAATCTTGTATACCAACCAAATTGCTTTTCACACTTTGCTTTCACAGCCCAAGCCATGAATAGAAACAAATTACCACCTTCCCATTTATGTTAATCTGCCTACCCGACCGACCCTATTAAATACGTGTTATATCACCCATTTAAAAAAAAATAACTTTAAAATCTAAGAAAAAGAACTAAACCAAAACAGAGAATGGCAAATTATCATCTTCGTCTTCTTCTGCTTCATTATAAAATGACAGCAATTTAGGAGACTATTGTGCAATCAACGTTGTAGCCCCCCTAAACAAAGCAGGCGAAACGTCAAACACAACAACATCATTTGTCTTAATGCTCGTTTGTTCATCGGTTGGTTTGTCGGTGGTTGCTTGGCTGGCTGGTTGGGAGTTCAAATGACTTTTACTTTTGTTTTAAAACAACAAAAACCCCCTGCTCTCTTTGTTGCGAAAATGCCATTTGGATGGCAAACAGAGCGTCAAGAGGAAGGAAACTCAGAGTAAAGATAAATTGCCACGCTTAGTGGCCAATAGATCGGCTGGCTAACTGGGGGGGTTTAGCAAACAAAAGCTGCCGGAGGAGATGCAGGGAAGAAAGACACCTCTAACACCAAACAACCGCACATAAATGTCAAAATCATAAACAAACGTCTCAAAACAGACCTTTTTGCACTGGGTCTGGTTGAAAAGTTCAAGCGGAGCAAACAAAAACACCACCATTTAATTGTTGGCCCTGTGAAAATGATGTTGGTATCAAAAATTAAGAAAAATACAATCCAACAATATCAACAATGTAAATGCCATTGGCAGCACAAAACCCAATAGCAAACATACAGACAACAAAAGAGAGAACTTACCATTTCTTTACGCAACGTTGCTATTTGATTATCCAATTTACTGCCCGGTATCGCGGGCGGTATTTCCGAAATGGTCTCATTGCCATTTATTTCTTTTAGAGGTGTTGTCGTTGTTGTTTCGTTTGCGGAAGCGGAACCTGCTGCTGGCGATGTTGTTGTTGATGCAGTCGCCGCCATTATTAATGTTGAATTGTTCAACTTGTCACCAGTATCCTTAATGCTAATATTATTATTGTTGTTGTTGTTGCTATTATTGTTATTATTTTCTTTTTGGCTTTCACTGTTTTTGGCATTCCTGGCCATTTCGGTATCCACATCACTAATGAGACCGGAATCAGAGGCAAGCATTTTATTAATGCCGCTTAAACTTTTTGGCAATGGTGGCAAATCATTGATGGACATTATCCTGTGGAAATAAAAACAAGAAAAAACAATTTGTTAATAATAAATGAAAATCCAAAAACAAAATAATTGAATTAAATTAAATTGTGAAGGATTGAATTGAAAAAAATCGAGTTTGGCTTTTTGATAGGATTTAAATGAGAGATGGGATGCTATGCATACGATGTTTCACTAATGATGCCATGGCTTGATATGTTATCCAAAATGGAATGGAGTACTCAAAAGCCCTTGGTCCTCTGTTGGGGGAAATGTCAGGGGCCTTTTCCCATTAAAAATCCATTGGTATTGAGTCTACAGAATAAAATTGCTCCTAAAATTATAAATTATTATTATAAGGACATTCCGTATTTCCTTTTAGTGACATCAAAGTCCAAAAAAGTAAAATCGAACTTTCTATATCCATCAACATGAGAAAAACTTTAAAAATTGGCAGCTCGAACTCTATCGGGACTTGGCAACGATATCTTGACTTTAAAAAATTAATAACTGTTAGTAAAATAAAAATACAGAATTTGAAATATATACAACATTTTTCAATTTTTGATAACTGGTGACGAATCCTTAACTGGCTATTACAATAAAAACAATATTGAAAAGTGTCGGAGTCTACACCTTTTTCAAATGTTATTCAAAACATTTCAATTTCAATTCGGGAATTATATTTGTAATTCGAGAACTCAATTTGTAATTCATAACATTTCAAATGTAATTCGAGTATGTAATTAGTAATTCACAACATTTCATTTGTAATTTTTAACTTTTCATATGAAATTCCAAAAATTCCATTTGAAATTTAAAAAATTGCATTTGTAATTGGAATATTTCCATTTGAAATTCAAAGAATTCAACTTGAAATTTATAAAATTTTACTTGTAATTCAAAATTGTTCAGTTGTAATTCGTAACAATTCATTTCAAATTTATACATATTCCTTGTGTGTTACCAATAATATTTTTCAAATTTAAAATTAAATGTTATGAAAAACAAATGAAATGTTATGTATTTCAAATCAAATGTTACGAATTTCAAATGGAATTATTTAAATTTCAAATCGAATTTTATTAATATCAAATGGAAGTTTATGAATTTCAAATGGAATTATATGAATTTTGAAATGTATTCTATTAATTACAAATGTAATTCCCGAATTACAACTGATATCTTATGAATTGTAAATGGAATTCTCGAATTGCAAATTGTATGTTGGGAATTACATTTGATATGTTTTGAATAACATATGAAAAAGGTGTAGTCTGTTATTTATTTTTTTATTTATAGTGAAAATAAAAATATTTGCATTTTTGAATAAAAAGTGTAACCCGGCATTTTGGACTCCAAATGGTAATTTCGGGGGCATAAGGGTGTTACCCATTCCCAGTTTGAAAATAGGGACTCCATTCTAAACTATATATCGTTTATAACGACAATATCTTAAGTCCCGACAATATCTTAAGTCTCTGATGGTGACCAATTTCGTCGCCAAATTTCATGTCAAACAGAAAAATAAAGAACCCATATCCCATAATACATGGACTGTTTAGAGAATACCACTAAATTGAATCATTAAAATGAATTCTTTACTCCCACACTGCCATTTTTACCAACACCTTACAAAAATGCATTGTATCTATTCCAAGGAATTTCCCTGTGATTTTCTAATCCAATTCCACAATCCAAATAACTCTGGTCGGTTGATTTGTAATACATATTCTAGTTTTGTTGTGCCATGACTGACTGATATGAACGAAGTACGACTAATCATTCTTTAGAATAATACAGATATCATTTTTCATAGATTGCAACATCAACCCAAATTTCGAGTAAATTTATCCGACCAAGATTGAGTTCTGCGCACCAGTAAAACCAAAGAAAAAAGTGGATTTACCACCGATTGCAAGTTGAGTCGACGATTCTACTGACATTCTATTTTATCGATTTAATTTATTCTTCTATTTGCTAGCTGTTGCTGCCTCTACATAGAAACAAAAGAACTCTTAAATAGTCGATGGCGATGACAACGAACGCCATGCAATTTAAGCTGAACAAGAAGAAGAAGCAATAGAAAACATGAACAACAGCGACAACGAAAAATAATGGAGAGGTACAGAACAAAAATGTCATAAATTGTAATCAATATCATGCCAGTTGAACGTGATTTCTGGGTCAGAATAACACTCGAACTTCGAAACATATTACCGCTGCCAACCGATCAGAAGGTATGACAAACAATGGCCCAGCCAGCAGCCACTAACTCGAACTCTCTAACGACAACTAAATCTTATGACAGCACAGCACAGAATCGAGCAACCACAACAACAACAGTAATAATGGTAGTGATGATGATGATGACAACAACGACAACAACTCCAACATGAAGCAACTCTAATTTATGTTGCAATGTTAAAATGTCGTGACGCTAATAATCAACAACAATAGCAGCGAAACCAAAGAAATATACAACCCGCAGCAGCACCACCACTACAACCACCATCACCAACAATAATCCGTATAGAAAAAAAATATGGCAGCAGCAGCACAGAGGTAACAATCATGACATACTGGAGTAGAGCAAGCTGGCTGCCACATAGCTCGTCGTAACAAATAGTTTGCTTAAGACATTAGATTACTTTACAAGCTTAGCCAGCTAGCTAGCTAACGTTCATTACGCTGTTCGGGTTACTGTAACTCCCAACTCCCCGATTGATGCCTCCGATGCGAATGCGAATGTATGTATGTTATTTGAGCAAAGTAAACCAGCGATAAACCAACCGATCGACCGACCGACAATCGACATGCATCCAAACAAATTCAATCTAACATGCTTATGCTTGCAATAGTTGTAATTATAATAGAAAAACTAGATTTTATTTGGTAAACCAGATTGTAAACAAATCAATGTTGCAAACTAACGGGGGAGCGTATGAAAAGATGTGGAAATATATTGATTTACTTTAGGAAATTCGGAGTAACGCGATGTATTCTTAAGATGCGATGTATTCTTAAGGAAATGTTTAACATTTTTCAAAATGTACCGTAGGGATTCTGTTCGCAAGAAAGTTTGGAACTTCCGACCGTTAAAGTGATATTTTTTCGATGGAGATTTCCAAATTATCAGGTCTGAATATTTCAAACAAACTTTGGGAAAATGTACAAATTCCGGAAGGTACGGAAGGTTATGTGGGATTTATGCCTAAAAGTAGATTGATGGAGCCTGTGTATCGGGACCGAATATTATTACTAATCATATGTTTAATGAGAATATTAAGTTAAATTGGGGACTAATTTCCCGTTTTATGAGATTTATGATTTTTCAAAATTGCCTTTTCTGTGGGAGAGGTACTAGAGGCGATAGATCTATATATTTGATATTTTGTAATGCTGTGGAATACATACGCCTCATTTTCATAATCCCAGTAAATTGTCAGTATTGCTTCATGCAATGTAGATATATAAGGTAGCCGCATCGGCGAATTGGGAACATGATATGTCAAAATTGTTAACAAGGCGAATAATAATAATTTCGCCATGACGTACAAAACTCGAAGCAAATTAAATTCAACCAATCAGAATTAAGTATTTTGAAAAATTAAAAATATTTGTTTACTTTTTGAAAGTTTTTAAAATTGAAATTGTTTGTTTAATAATTGCTTTTGGAGAAAGATACATCAAAAGTGCGCTTTAAATGTGATAATGTTGCTGGCATCGGATGTATGGAGATATAACAAGATTTGGACTATTTTTTCCGTAGTATGCCCTCACATGAAATTTGAAAAGCAATATTATATAAAGAAGAAAAAAGGTACCACCGAACCAAATCTTCGATGGCAAAACCTATTCTAAATTTCATTTGGAATAGGTTTTGAAAAAAAAACAACAACATTAAATTAGTTCCGTTCCAGAACCTAAAAGAATCTACTCAGTTTACATGTTTTGCAACTTTTTACTCGAAAACCGTTCCTCAACCCAGAAAACTGGTAAAACATTGACTCAAATTTAAAAGAGCACAAAACAAAATGGCGTTCTCTTTGAAAACTTTTTACTCGAGAAATTTGGTAGAGTAAAAAAGGTAAACAGGATTGCCTACTTCTGATTGGCTGTTATGTTGATTTTGAAGTATTGCCATCTATTTTTGGCATATTTACTAGATTTGCGTTCCCTAACTTTTCAAATTATTTTGTACTCTGAGAGCAATTTTGAAATGTTTACTGGAACAGACCAATTGTTATGACATATAATGTTACCATCAACTGGCTTGATAAGGTTACCTTCTTAATATACCTTGGCTTCATGTTTTCTTAATAAGGGTCTGGCCTCATTCTAGGCATTTGCATGGTCCAAAGGGCATTTTACTACCGAATATGCCATGGCTTGACATTCCGCATGCTTGGAGCTTAAACTAATTTTTCATAGAATATTGTCAGTAGACGTCTATGTTATGGTATATACTTCATATGTAAGGTCCCGCCCCATTTTAAGTATTTTTGATAGTCTTATGAGGACTAGGACTATGTTATGACATTGACCCAATATAGGTATATTCGTTGGTTCTGGAAGAATTTTTGAAAAAGTGGTTTTTGGCATAGTAGTTTATGCGTGTGTACAAAATATCTTGGTAGAAAATGATCAGTATAGATCCATGTTTTGATATAGTATTGGAAAATATTATATTGTCCTTATATGGGAAGTATAAAATTTTCCAACTGAAATTACTGGAATTCAGTATTCCAGGTTCTGCCAATCAAGGATTGGAATGACAATGACAATCATGGCGGCAT